TTTCTTGATCATACTGGGTGGCATCGGCTTGAGCAGCTTGTTCATCGGTGAAGGATGACAAATCCGACACGGAGGTAAAAGGAAGGGCTGACAAATCCACATCACATCCTACAGTAGGCTTACTAATGCATTCGGGACATGACCATATCATCGGGTCATTTCTTTGCAACTGTTTGAATAGTTTCGGTGTAACTTTACCACACTTGATGTGAGATTTACCTCTAYATGAATTGCAGTCGAGCGACCGATGATTTCGGGCGATGGTTCTAGAGCAGATATTGCACTTTGGTTTTACGGAACTTGGGCCAGGATTCAAGTTTATATCCCAACTTATTAACAGTCGAATGAGCTGGAATGTAGATTGGCTGTTCGGGTATCTACTTATTCGACGTCCATAATATTTCCGAGAAGGCGCTCGTAGGAGCTCAAAATGGCGTCTATTGTGAAGTTCACACATGGACATTTGACAGCAAAAACCATCGCTATCAGAACTCTGCTTAGTAATTCCTTCTGAAAACCTGTAGATACAGCTATCAAATAAGTAAAGGTTTCGTTTCCATCCATAATTGTGTAAGATAGTGAAGGGAATAAGGTATATGAGGACGCATCTAAGTACAGCACGTCCTACCGCCATCTTGCCATCTTACATAGTACGGCAAGTATTTTACCGTAAGACGCACCATTGGTTCAGTTGTGATGGTCGTTATCGTGGCCGCATTTGGAGCTGGCTTGCATCTTGTGTGTAGATGGGCTATGCATGCCATACATTATGGAAAAGTGACATGTTTTACCACGTTTAAGACCCCGCAACATGAAAAAAGATACATCGCATTCCTGTCTATTTGTTACATCATGTTTCCCGCCTGTGTCACCTCCGTTTGCTATCTGAAGATTTTCAGATCCGTGAGCAATCACAAAAAAATGGCATTCAAGCAGCTCCCTAACACACAAGGTGGAAGTGCAAACGGGACGCTAGAAACACAGCAAGGAAAGCCGCCGAAACTCCAAACCAAGGTGGAAGAAGTTAAAATCACCAAGACTTTATTTGTGACTGTATTAGGATTCACAGCGTGCTGGACTCCCATTGCCATCATAGACATGATTGAGTCTTTTTCCTCGCATACTTTACCAATCCCACGGCAAGTCTTCCTTCTTTGGATCTATCTAGCAAACGTCAGTAGTTCCATAAACCCATTCATATACGGAGTGCTCAACCGATCATTCCGAAAGGAGTTTCGAAGAATTATCCACTTCAAAAGTAGAAATCAAATAGACGGAACACATAAAGCCGTGTCTATACGAGGAAACGCCGCAGCAGAAGTACGAAGCTGAACGTTTTCGGATAATTGTTTCTGGGCCTAACCTAGTATGTAAACTTAGTGAAGCTAGGCTAAACTAGGTTCGCAGTCATAGTAAGATTTGAGAGACTGGGAATGATGATTATGAATATATTATATTATTATTAAAAACACTCGCTCTTACTTAGTTTGGAAGGAAAAGTGGAACTCTCTCAGTCTAGATTATGATCCTCAAGGAAGCCAGACTGACAGTATACAAGTAGACTACCTTCCAGTCTACAATATCGCCTGATGAAGACTAGAAGTAGCAGTCGTAAGGAAGCCAGACTGGCAGTATACAAGTAGACTACCTTCCAGTCTACAACATCGTCTGATGAAGACTAGCAGTAGCAGTCGTAAGGAAGCCAGACTGACAGTATACAAGTAGACTACCTTCCAGTCTACAACATCGCCTGATGAAGACTAGCAGTAGCAGTCGTAAGAGAGCCAGACTGACAGTATACAAGTAGACTACCTTCCAGTCTACACCATCGCCTGATGAAGACTAGCAGTAGCAGTCGTAAGAGAGCCAGACTGACAGTATACAAGTAGACTATCTTCCAGTCTACACCATCGCCTGATGAAGACTAGCAGTAGCAGTCGTAAGGGAGCCAGACTGACAGTATACAAGTAGACTACCTTCCAGTCTACACCATTGCTTGATGAAGACTAGCAGTAGCAGTCGTAAGGAAGCCAGACTGACAGTATATAAGAAGACTACCTTCCAGTCTACAACATCGCCTGATGAAGACTAGCAGTAGCAGTCGTAAGGGAGCCAGACTGACA